TACAAATAAAAGGTGAACACTAATTTATTTGTAAAGTTTGAAAAGTTTTTCTGAGGCTTTTATATTGTTTATATCGATAATGAATTATATCGTTACCGACCGAAATTAAGAAATATATTGTAATAAATGTTTTAGCCATATCATCCAGCATATATATATATATTTTTTTATATATATATTTATATATAGACACAAATCTGGACCCCATACTGTTTATAATTTATGTAAATGATCTATGTATTGTACCTGAGACAATGAAATGCATACTATTTGCCGATGACACAAACATTTTTCGTGTTGGAGATGACATGGAACAACTGTTACTGGATGTAACTGAACAAACTTAAAATGTGGTTTGATGAAAATAAGCTGTCCTTGAACCCAAACATAACAAAAATGTTATTTGGGAACTGTCAATCACATACAGAAATTCAAATACAAATAGATGGGCTGACTATTGAAAGAGTTCATGAAAACAAATTTCTAGGTATTGATGATAAACTCAACTGGAAACCACACATCACATATGTTCAAAGTAAAGTCTCAAGAAATATCGCCCTCTTAAACAAAGTCAAGTGGGTCATAGAACAAAAAGCATTACATGTTCTCTACTGTTCATTAATCTTACCTTATTTAAGTTATTGTGCAGAAGTATGGGGCATTAATTAGAAAACTACACTACAGGCATTAACAATACTACAAAAAAGAGCAATAAGAGTAATCCATAAGGTGGGACATTTAGAAAGCACTAATACACTATTTGTAAAATCTAAATTATTAAAGTTCATTGACAGACAGTGCAACTACAGACGGCTCTAATTCTTTACAAAGCCAAAAATAAACAATTACCGGAAAACATTCAAAACCTGTTTAAGGAGCAAATTTATAAGTTACGGGGGAATCGCAATTTAAAATATGCAAATTCAGAACTACTAGAAAAAAAACCTTTTGTTCATCAGTAAGTGGAGTCAAACTTTGGAATAATTTGAAAATTGAACTTAGACAATGTCCAAACATAAAACTGTTCAAATGATCACTCCTGAATATGTTAAACAAAAAGTTTTGACATTATGCGTCATGCTGTATTATTTTTTTTTTTTTACATATTCAAAAAATAAACTAAACTAAATCTGAAGCACTACGGTAGACTAAGCTTTTTGACTCATTTAAATCTTCTCAAATTGAATCTATAATTACTTAATTTAGGCATGATAAGCAGAAGCAGAACTACTTCTATGTTCATTTTAGGGTTTTCCACAAAATTGGTTCCAGTGCTGGACCAGAGCCAGAACTAAAGCCCGTTGTTTTTAGTGGTTCCATGAAAAAAATAAACTAAAATACAACTGGTTTGTTTTTCTTTACAGAGCCACCTCAAAGTCATTACATCACATTAAACAACTTTTCCACTGAGTCTGATCCTCCCTCTGGTGTATTCGGAGTTTCTATAGCTACTAAGAAAATAGAGATTGAGATCATCTTATCACCAGATTTTTTAGTCTTAATTTAAACAACAGTAGGTATTTGTGAATTCTTTTCACATTAACAACCAGTACTTTAGCGTGAAATGAATAAAAGGCATTTAAAAAATCTGTTCACTGATTTTTTAAGTTTTTTTTTAACACCAGCCGGTCATCTCCAAACATTCAACAGTGTTCATAAACAATGAGTTGCAAATTTTTATAATTTTAATTGAAAACAGCAATTTTTGATTTGCTGCAATTATGTAGTTATAAAAATAAAAATAAAAAAACAGCTGGAAATGGAGCATCAATGAGCTGTTTTCATTTTGGCTTCAACTCCCACATAACATCACTGCATTGTAGACATATTAATATAAACTTAGCTCAAAAAGTAAGGAAATTTGTGTTTGGTTAATTATTTATTTGTCATAACAATGCTTCTTGGCACTAAATGTTGCAGCATTGAAAAACGTGTTTATTTCATCTAACGGTGCCACATTTGTTAGGAAAATGCATTTGCAGGTCAAACCCATGAAAACTTGCCAAATCTTCTCAGCATACGTCAAATAGCTTTTTCTGCTATTGACTCTTGTTTGGTGTAGTTTATTGAACTGGATGATTGATGTGCTATTAAAAAAAAAGACAATAACCGTTTAACATTTATTCATTTAACAAAGTGGAGCCTTATTAGCATGTGGACGTACCATATACAGCCCCAAAAGCCTGGCATCTCCTTAAAAAAAAGGAGTTTATTGTCAAGAAGTACAGTTAAAACAAATATATAATCAACCAAACACAAATCTCCCTACTTTTTGAGCTAAGTTTATATCAATGTTTGAAACATGGTGCTCATATTATTTTTATTGGTTAGCATGCGGAAGTACCATATACAGCCCAAATTGCGTGGCAACACCTCCTAAAAGATTTATTGTCAAGAAGTACAGTTAAAACAAAAATATAATCAACCAAACACAAATTTCCCTACTTTTTGAGCTAAGTTTACTTCAGTGTTTGAAACGTGGTGCTCACATTATTTTTATTGGTTGTTGGTTCCTTTAATTCTGCCTTAGTCCACACATGAAAGTGGCTCTTTGCTCTGCACCAGTTTTAACTATGAAATTAAACGGAGCACTGGCTCTAGCCTACTATTAGAACAAGTTTAATAAGGGGAAAAAAAAAATTTCTGCACTAAATGTTTTATTCAGTTTGGATGAATTCAGATAAGCTACATGTCTAACGCTGCTTGTTTGACACGGCAGCATTTCAACGTGACTCGAGCACACTTCATTCTGTTGCAGAGAGTCGTGTTCAACAGCGACCGTGTAGCAAATCTCAAGGAGTTCAATCACTCGAGCTCGGCTAATGTACTCAATCTTTCAAAGTAGCGAGACGGTGGAAAAGAAGGGATGAAATAGGCCTCTAAAGAGGAAAAGGCGAGACAGTTCATTACAATGAGAAGGAGAAAGTTCTTCAAGTGGAACAAAATATGAGAGTACTGGATGATAATTACCCTCTTCAACACTAAAATAATGAGAAAAAATATTACTTGATGATCTGAAGTGAAAAAAGGTGTTCAGAGACAATACTTTTACTGGTTGAAAGTAGGGATGCACAATATTATCGGCATAGTATTGGGATCGGCCGATGTTAGTGATAAAGTTAAATATCAGACATTGGCCATTCCAACAAAATAACACCGTTATAAAAGGTGCTGTATATGCAGATGCATAGATATATACGCATTGTTTTTGCATGACTGTTCCAAGTGTTGTTGTGTTAGAGAGAGTAAATGTCATGAATAAATTTGACATTAAACATAATCCAAGTTGAAGTGTTGCATCATTTTCAGCCCCCTTTTGATAGCAGGCCAAATTGACAAAGACCATGCAGAATAATGTCGTATTTTAATTCTGCAGCAGAGAAAGCTATGTAGTCTCTGTAAGTAGGTATACGGGAAAAATATCGGTGTTGGTATCGGTTATCAGTGAAATAAGTTTTAACTAGGAATGTGCGATATGGCATAAAATTCATATCACAATATGTATTGTGAAGGGTGGCGATAACGATATATATCACGATATGTTTTGGTATAAAACTTGCAATAGGAATGAAAAAAAGCATAGGTTGTCTTTTTGCCATCGTTTATTTTGAATTAAGAAAATTCCACTACTAGGTCCAGAATTTTTAAATAATAAACAAATCAAGTATTAGGCTTCTTTCTTGTAGTGCAAAACAGAGCAAAATATATCAAATGTAGTTTAGCAATATGTTTTAAACAAAATAATATGTTGTTAACTCTTAACAGTTTCCAGTCTTCTCACTTAACAAATGAACAGCAACAGAGCAGCATTTTACACTGAAACACTTCACCCTCCAAACCTCTAGTTGGCGCCCCCTTCCGCTTTAATGGAAAGATGACACAAAATGAGTCTGTGGCTTTGACCAGAGGGTCTCGCAGTAAAATCACACAACACAGCGTTCTTATCACAGACCAGAGAGCAGGTTTCTCTAAAGCTGACCAACGCTTACTTCAACTTTCGATGGGGAAAAAAAAAAAAACTTTCGACGGAACACAGCGCTTTGCGCATGCGTCTGAATACGGCAACACTACGGCAAGCTGGACGTAGTTAGCTTATAGCTTCGCTACTTAGCTCTCGAAAAAAAGACTAACACCACTTACGCAGTTTTCAACTAAAAAAAGTAACGATTAAACTGACAACTCTGATTTTACATCAGACACAGCATTACTGCGGTTAGCCGGTAGAAGACAGATCTCTATCGTTTCTACCGTGTACCGTTTATATCGCACATTCCTAGTTTTAACATATTGGCATATATTATATTATATGCATATATAATACTATATTGGATATTGGCCAAAAATCCAATATCGTGCATCCCTAGTTGAAAGTGCTTCTTGATCACTGACAGTTTGTGTCTAAAGGTGCAGGACAATAAAACACCAACTCTTGCAAGGTTGGTGTCACAGCGGTGGTGAGAACTTCTCTTAGAATTAAAGAAACTTTCTGATGAGAACTAAGTCTGAAACAAAATCTGAGCTACGGTATGCAGTTTAAAGTAATAACATGCAGCGCCAACATCGCCCCGATTCCTCTGTGAGGCGGTGAGATTGACACTAAAGCATGACTTATCAAAAGAAGTTTCTCTGCTGCCTCACTGTTTTCAGCCCCCTCATGCTCCTTCTCCTGATTAAGCCTCTTGTTTGTGACATAAAATGAAATTTCTTCGCTTTGAACTGTGAATCCAGGGAGCTTAGCCCCCGATGTAGTGTGTGCGAGTGTGCACTCAAGCTGCATGTGCATTCTCCCTATGTGACTAGCTCTTTAAGGTGGAGAGCATAGATTTTAATTTGGGGAATAAAAATAAAATTAAAAAACATGGCCTCGCCCACTTTTATGTTTCAGTGTGCGCAACAGATGTTTCATTGGAGAAATGCTCACGAATGGAGTTGGAGCAAAAACCTTCACATCAGACAGAGATTTCCAAGTTTTTTAGATATGTTCATTTTAAAATCTCTACCTGAGTGGCCGGTTCTCCCGTCCATCATAAATGTGAAAGTAGACTTCGAGCTCCTCCCCCAGATTGGCGCTCATCAGGCTCTTCACATGGACAAACAAGTGATGGGTGCTAGCGGGCGCCGCTGTCTCCTTTTTACGATGGCGATGCTCCATCTGCAACAGAAAAGAAGACATCAGCTAAATAGCAAAGTGGGGAAACATTGAATGACTTTACCTGCCAGATTGAGTAGGGTGGAAAGTGTAATACTCTGATTCGTTACGTAAAATGTAAATAAAAACAGAACACATTGATCTGTAAATGTCATAAGCCTGTATTTTAATCACAATGGAACTTGGTTTGAAATGTAACCAATAAAAAGTACCAATATTCGGAAAAAATGAGTTTTTTAAATCTTTTGATGCTATGAGCTGTAGATGATGGCATTAGTCAGTCTTCACAGTTTTCTGTTGAGGGACATTATTCTGAAATGTTTCCACTGTTTTTAGATGTAGTCTTACACAGACCGCTTAACCTCTGCCCATCTGTACTTCAGAGGTTCAGCCTCTCTAAAATGCTCTTTTGATACCCAGTCTTATTATGGATCTGTTGCCAGTTACCATATTTTCATCCGTACACGTCACTCCGGCGTATAAGTCGCATCAGTCCAAATATGTCTAATAACGTGGAAAAAAACTTAAATAAGTCGCATCGCTGTATAAGTTGCATCTATTATGTGTCACCACTGACCACCCGGAAACGCAGGCTGGTGTGCTAAATATCGATTGTCTCCCAAATGGCGGCCACAGGAGCGTGCATGGGAGGACTTTAACAAGAATTTAGCAAGATTAACACATAAAAACAATTATTTGTTTGCTCAAAATTATAGTAAAGGTGTGCCTCAGTTGAACTTTTCCTTAGTAAATGCACTTTAATGGTCAAAACAGCTTCATTTCGCCTGGGCGCTGGTGTTCCTCCCCGATATGGTGGCGGAGTGGGGACTAAGGCGAGCTCTGGAGCCTTTGTCCGCCCACATCTCGCTGCTTCCTGGGGCCGCGGAACGCGCACTCTGCTGACCCCTTCCTCCCGGCTCAGGCAGCGGAGGAAGGCTGTAGAGCGTGCAGCCGAAGTCGCGACGGATGGATAGATGGATGGATGGCGCACCGCCACAGAGGAAATGCACCTGGAGGGAGCCAGCCAGACACCAGGGGAATGTTCCCCCCAAGGGGGAATCTTCCGCCGCCGTGCGGTCGTCCCTTCCGCCAGGTTGAATTACCCAGGCAGACTGTGCGGACCCAACCCGTTTACAAACTTTCTTTCTGCTGCTCGATTACCATTTTGGGCTGCATATTTTATTACCTGCAGTTTGTAATATGCAAAATAGGAATAGGATTTTCTGTTTGGGGGGATTTTACTTGTGTCATGTTTTTCTCAGTTGTTTATGTGAACATTTGTGTGTGTAGGGGGGGGGTGTAGCGGAACAGCATATAAAAGCCTAGAGGGCCCTCTAGCAGCTGAAACTGGTAATGTTTACTGGTTCATATTTATGAATAAACATTTCAAAGTCAAAATTGGGTTATAAATATGAGGAAAACATGTATATTAGTCGCTTCTGTGTATAAGTTGCAGGACTTGCAAATTTATGAAAAAAGGTGCGACTTATACGGCAGAAAATACAGTAATCAATTTTATTACAAAATGCTCCTGCAGCTGTTTTTTTTATTAGTGCCACCTACTTTTACAGCCTTTCGTTGTCCCTGTCCCAACCTTTTTGAGATGCTGCTGCCATAAAATTCAAGATGTCTTAGCTTAAACATTTGCTAAGTTGGCTTTATTTATTGTTAATAAATTATGGGTTTATGGGATTTGAAAATCCATGCATTCTATTTTTATTTAGATTTTACACAATGTCCCAACTTTTCTGAAATTGGGATAGTAAAAAAAAAATAAAGCAAAAGCTCAAATCCCCCCAAAAGCAGGACCAAAGATGAACAAATTCAAATAAAACCAGGGGGAAATGCTTGTGGTTAGGTTTCCTTAAAGACGATCCATCGTGTCTCAGAGCTGCTGTCTTTAGTGTCTAATTTCAAAGTAAAAAAAATAAAAAATCCCCTTGAGACGTCTCCCAACAGGGAGAATTTTTGTTGCAGATTTGCATATATTACAGAAATCCCAAAACAGACTCAAATATAGTTCAAGTTGACATATCTAGTTAACAAAGCATGTAATTTGCAGACTGCCAACAGCACTACAGGCAAAATATTTTAACGTTTCAGATGTATCGTTTGACTGTTTGTGGCAGACCTAGTGCCAAGGAAACACAAAGACTGGAAGTGCAACAAACACTAATGCTTCAGTTTTCTTTTGTTGCCTTGAGATATTGGGACTTTCACAGAACATTTATTAAGCATCTTTACTGAACAAAACATGCATCACCTTCGTTCTGAGAATAGATACCTAAATAAACAATTGGAATGCACTAAACATGGACAGTATATTTATTTAAAACAATTATGAGAATTATGTCCCAAACGAGGAGCGACAAAAAGATAAACATTATTGCTGCAATACTGCGACTGTATGTTTGACCCTGGTGACCAAAGCAAGAGCTGTGTACGCATTCATGACACAAAGTCAAGCTCAGGTTCTGATGCGGGATGAACCCCTTCAGAACTGCTACTTGTCTTTGATCCTCTTGTGAAGATCATGGATCTCAAGGAGCAGTGGCGAAGAGGAGGTTGTCAGGTTTGGGAATGTCAAGGTCTCCTCTCTGCCTCTTTTTTTTTTTGCAGCTGATAATGATTCTGTTGGCATCTTCAGGCCATGACCTTCAGCGTGCACTGAGGCAATTTACAGCCAAGCGTTAAGCAGCTGGGATGAGAGTCAGCTCCTCTTAAGTCTGAGTCCATTGTTCTTCACTGGAAGAAGGAGGAATACAAGAAACAAGACACAGTACGTTTATTGTAATCTAAAATTTATATTTTGCTTTCTCCCACCTAAGCCTCAAGAATGGGAGTTAAGACTCTTCTTAACGAATGATGGTTTGATGGAGCAGAAGATAGATTGATCGATTGATTAGGGCCTTGTCCGCAGTAATGACGATGTTGCTCCGGTCTGTTGACCCATAAGGCAAAGCTCTCAATTTCCTAGTCTGTTTACATTCCAACCTTCATCTATGGTCATAAGATCATGACCGAAAGAATGAGAAACTGAATACAAGCAGCTGACATGAGCTTCCTCTAGTAGGGTGGCTGGGCTCAACCTTAGAGAAGAGATGAGGAGGAGTGAAACGAGTCAGCTGAGGTAGTTTGAGCGTTTGATAAAGATGTCTCCTGCAACAGGTTTTCCAGGCACATCCCACTGGGAGAAGACCCCAGAACTTGCTGGAAGTATTATTTGAAGTATCCTCTCTGGCCTGGGAACATGTTGGGATCCTCCAGGAGGAGCTGGAGCGTATCACTGGAGAACAAGTTCTAAACTTCCCTCTTGGAACTTGTGTTTCTGCAACCCGACCACAGATAAGCAGCAGAAAATAAATGTTTTCTAAGACCATGAAGAATTATTCATGTGTGGCACAACAAAAAGAACTGAGATGAAACATTTTTTGAGCCAACGGCGCTCAAAAATTTCACCCGTTTCAAAAAACTACTATTTCATGCCAGCCATGTTGTTTAGAAACTGAACTTTTTATTATTTTTTTTTTTGTCTCAAAAGAAACTGCATTCTACAACAGAACTGCTCAAAGTGCTGTAAGAGTGTGAAATGGGTTCTCTGTGAAGTTTTCAGTAATTTTCAGACACAACATTGACTAATTCTAGGAGTTCAAGAGCATTTTATACTTCACTGATTAACTGGTCTGTGTTAAGAGGCTTAACAAGCAGCAACGCATTTCTTTGAAATCAAGTAAGCTAAAAGAAAAATGATGGGAAAATTATTACAGGATCCACAGCTAAACGAAGACGTTGTTTTCTGGACAAAAAATAAAAACAGAATAACAAATGTGTCAGAGAAAGTGTGAGACATGATTCATGTTTCAAGTCAAATGAGATAAATGGCACTAAGACAACTATATAATGAATGGTATGCTTAAGAAAACAGTTTGCTCAGCTGTAAATAGGCAAATGAAAAAGCACTGGCATCCATAAAAATGACAACGCAAATCATTTTACAACAGCTTTTAACTGTGAATAGTGTTTTCTTTGGTCACGACTCTTCTGCCTGACGGAGAAACCCAGAAAAAAAACAACCAACTGCTGTTAGGACGAGCCAACGTCTTTAACAGATCAGCGCTTCTACACGGAGCGGGGCTGAGCTGCTTGTTTTGACGCGAAATGACTGGGTCTGGGGAAAGACCTAATTCGTGCAGCGGGATTTCATTACGTGGCTATTTTCAGCGTGTCATTAAGGCCGCCCGGCGGGAGCAGTGTGTGGTTTTGTGACAGCTTCAGCATGACTACACACAAAATATAGACATACCAGTAAGAGCCTGGCATGCCTTCTGCCAAGACGTGACGTTGTAGGAGCAGAACGAAGATGATGGAACAAAGACTCGTGCCTTAATGTTAGTTCACCGATATTTGCCTGAAATGGAATGAAGCGCAACAAGTGGAGAAACGGGTCAAGCTAAGGCCACGGGGAAACTACAAGTCTTTTTATATCCTTCCATCACTCACTATTCAGGCTTCTTTAAATCTCGCTTCTAGGTTTGTGGAAGGATAAACAGTACAGAGAAGCAGCCCGAGTTATCCTTTAAATGAAATACCGCAGGTGATGAATTAATCGGAGGGATCTAAGCTCTGGTCCGCTCAGCTCGAAGTCTGGATTGATCTCAGTCTCCAAGGAGGAAAAAAGAAAAAGGAGGAAGTTTGAAATTCTGTTGAATTTGCTGCAGAGCTCTCCCAAAAGAACGGTGCTGACTTGAGATTGGGGAGCCAATTAAGGATTTAAAACAAGTTTTGAACATCTTTCTATTTTAAAGCTGCTGTTGCGACTGCTAAACAAAAGACTTGCACATGTCGTTTTCACAAGAGTCAGTCGGTGCATATCAATCTTTAACAGTTTGCTTTACAATCTTCCTCCTAAAGAATAATCCTTTCAACATTTCCGTAAAGCCAAAATTGCACATTTGATGTTTCATTTCTTTTTTTAAAGAAAAATGTCAAATAAATAACAATATTACTTTATTTTGTCAGACTGTCACTGACTCCTAAAAAAACAATTGGAACATTAACACCACAACTGCATATCAAGAGTGCGTAAGGCGCATCTTTTGGCTCAACCATTACATTTTCCACCCAGAAGAAGCGTTTGTCTTTTTTTTTTTTTTGTAATGTAAAGAAGTTTTCTAGCTCTTAAAAACTTCACACTTATCAGACTTTAAAACAATAAGGTATGAACTAAAAATGTCAGTATTTTTTCCATTAAAAATATTTTTACAGCCAATAAAACCACTGTGATGTTTACGGTGATGCACAATAGTCCCTCGATACTTCGCGATTCGACTGTCGCGGACTCACTAAGATGTACATGACACATGACTGGCTGATTGATGGAAGGCGACCAACCTGAGCATTGTGCTGAGGGGCGGACTGACCGTCGGGAGCACCGGGACATTTCCAGTTGCTTGGCCCACTCAGTGATTACCAAGGGATCCCCTCCTTTCTCTTTCTGAGGATATCTGTCACAGCAGAGACACAAAACAGGCGTTTGCGCAACCCATTGTGTGTCTCTGACAGCCTCAGAAAGAGAAAGGGAGGGGGGTCTGTCTTTCCCCATCGCTGCTGTGGGAGCTTCAATGAGGCAGATACCAGAGTGAGCAGCATGGATTGTTTATGTAAAATAATCAAGCGCGACCTGAACCGAGCCTTTAGTCGCCCTCGGCAATCACTGAGCAGGCCAGGCCACCGGGAAATGTCCCAGTGCTACCGACAGCCAGTCCACACCTGGGATTGGCTCAATAACCGTAGCATCAGCCTGTTTGCTCTCTTTCGCTGTTCTCTTTCAGAGCATTTAGAGGGTTTAGAACATTGCTAAGAACATTGAAAGAGTGTGGGAAGTTTCAATTATTTTTACAAGCAAATAAAACCACTAAAATTTAGTAGTATTTCTTTGATCAAAGCATTTAATCATCACAACAGCCAATGTAACGTCCGGTGTGTTGGGTGTCAATGTGTGGTATTACTGGAGTTATGCTTAACAAGCATGAAAAATGGCATTTCAGTATGTTTTCAGCCAATTTCAACTGTTTTTCAGCAAGTTCTTCTACCATAAGCATTCACACTGCATTTTCACAGGAAATACTATTCCTCTAGTTGTCTTTACCTTACACTTTTCAGTCTATCTTTTCCCTCATTAGGCTGATAACGTAATATAACTTCGCATAATCCAGCCGAATTGGTAATCCTAACATTTCAAACAGGACCTGAGCTCAAAACAGTAAAAAGAAACTCCTCTTACAGCTAATGGTGCAACTATAAATACTGATGTAAACTGAAGCTCGTTAACATGTTGCGTTTGTGTGTGAGGTTATTGTTGGCAATAGCCTTTGTTTTAATCTTATCCCACCATGGGGGGGAATTGAAGTCACTTTGTACACCACTTAATAGAGGTGTGTAAAGCTTTCATCCTGCGTCGGCTGCTTTTGTTTTGACAAACAAAAAAATAATGAAACGGGTGGATTAAGAGCCTCAATTACCCCTCTGAAAGGGAAGCCGACAGTGTGTGTGTGTGATATAATTCTCCCTGGTCTGTATCAGGGAGGAGAAGTGGTTGCCACGGTAACAGTGGTTGGGACTTGGGAGAAAGTGGGAAGAATGACCGAGGGTGGTGGTGGGGAAAGGAAGGAGAGAAATATGGAAGCTGATGGAACGGGCGCCACATTCAGTCCAACAGTTTTCCTGCTTGTAAAGAAAACACTGATGTCGGTGACGTGAAATATTAAACACCGACTTCTGCTGCCGAGGTCAACATTGACTCTGTCCCAAAATCCAATGCGAGACATGCCGACAGTTCCCACATGAGACTAAAAAATCCTAAATAAAACCAGAAAGTCATAAAAACTGAATACTCAAACTTAAATATTGTGTCTTTAAAAAAAAAACCATTTAAACAACATGATAATAATCGTGTCCAGCACCAAGGAGATTTCTTCTTTATTTTTCACGTTTACTAAAAATGTTTTCATCTACCAATTTCTGCAAAAACCTCTGTTAAACTTCAATTTGAAGAAAGACACTTAAGATATCATAATATAACTTTAAGATCTGACTAACTTTTTACAGGTAGTGACTCAGAACTGCGAGAGAATGGACATTTCCAGTTGCAGGGGTTAATTAGAAATATTAGTAAACTTAAAAACATAAGAAAACAGCAGTTTTCTGAGCTCCAAGTGCTCCCAGGTGAAAACTGTTGAATAAGTGTTGGAGCACATGTCAATGATTCAATAACCACCCAATCAATCCTGGCTAAATCCTGAATACTGGTTCCGCTTTAAGTTTCTTTGGTCTTATAATAACAGTGGTGTTTCCATTTGAACTGTAAATTTTTTTATTTTTTGGGGGGGGAAAAACAAGTGATCATGCCATTTCTAAGGAACCATCCCAATGAGATGTGGCACCAATAGTTAACCTCATTTGCAAACAACAAATACAAATAAAAAAGTAACATAATGCCAGTAAAAGAGTATGAGCTAAAATAAAAAGAAACAAAGTTTGAACGCATTAGCAGTATAAAGGCCTAGAAATGAATGTACAATGAACATTTTCAAAAATTAATGCTCCAATTAGGACCTCTTAATGAACGTCTTGTAGCAGCTTAATGAGCAGCATATTTGATTTTTATGTTTCAAAACATTATATTATAATTTACTGTCCTAAGAACAGAAAACGACAGTATAACACAAACCATACTGCTGTTACTACAATCCGGTACAATTTTAAAACATAAAAACTACTAAAATGATAAAAACTGAGGAGATATTTTCTATTGCACAGACAGAAGCAGCTAAATATCCAGATGGGGATATGTATCGCATTGTGCTCTTTGTCCTACATTGATCCAAACTGAAATCTGGTTTATATTATTTTTACCTGCATGTCATGACATATCCTCACAAAAAAGCTGCAGAAGCATAAAAAAAATTAGCTGTAGCCTCAAATCGCAAATAACCTGCATTAAAAAGGTCAGTTATACATAAACAATAAGACCTAAGGCATCACAGTGAAGAGTGATCATAACATGACAAAACCTTGAATGTCATTGGCCATTTTCTACAGCAGAGTGGGCCTCCCTTGTGAGAAGCATTGAATTTAGCATCTTAAAATGCAGCCAAACTCAGGCCTGAATCCATCTGAGAGCGGGTCAACTAATCACCTGCACCACAAATGGGCCACTGATGAGAGAACTAGTAAAAAACTGTAAGGCTGCTCACCAGTCTGTAAAGCTCTGTGACGCTGACTTCATCGGGGTCCACCATGCTGAACTCGCGCCTGGGAACCAGGTCCAAGCCAAGTTGCCTGAAACACAAAAGTTGAATACAACTTAGCTAAAGAAACACCAAGACTACAAGAACTGCTGACTCATCGCCTATCATTTAATAAGACTCCGCATCAGGGGTCTGCAACCTGCGGCTCTGGAGCCACATGCGGATCTTCGGTCCCTCCACAGCGGCTCTTTCAAGCTTTGACCAAAACTAACATCAAACTGAATTTTATAGGATGTTTTACCCACAACAAAAAAATGACCAGTTTTAGCAGTTTTCCTGTCATTTCCTTCACAAATATGTGGATACTAGTACTAATACACAGAGTAAATTATACTCACTTTAACTTTATGCTTTACTTCTTCAAAGTAGGACTCATTTACTCCACAATTTAAAAAATGCATAAGCCTGCACAGTTCATTGTTTTAGTTTTTAAAAAATTTGGCAAAATATAGATAAATATATATATTTTTCTTTACAAGAATCCAGTTTTCAGGACTTGCGACCTGGATATGGGCCCCAGTGACCTCCTGCAACCCGAAAAGGAAGAAACGGGTAAAGACGATGAATGGATGGATGGATGGGTGGATGAAAGTCATTCTTTTCTTTTGTATCAAAATATAAAAATATCAATAAATGTTAACAATCATTGGATGTTTAAAGTTTTATACCATATTTTCCAAGCTATAAGTACTCCTGAGTATAGGTCGCACTCTTTCACTGTTCACTTTTTGGTTCATGTCAGTATGAATGAACATTTAATGAGTCGGTCAAAAACTGCGTCAGGAATAGGGAAAAAAAAACGTATACAAGTCACATTGGACTATAAGTCGCAGGACTGGCCAAACTATGAAAATAAAGTTTCACTTAGGCAGGAAAATATGGTAATTTCACACCTACTGGCCAGAAAAGCCCCCTCCAACAATCTTAAAGTGGCCCATGAGCCACCAGTTGATAATGACAGTTGCAGCAGGTTTTGCGGCTCTGGACGTGTTTAATTTAGTGAACCAAGGGGCAGAAATGGCTCTTTTGATCGTAAAGGTTGCAGACCCCCGCTCCGCATCAACATAAGAATGCACGACTTTGTGCTGATTTCTATAAAGTGTTTTCTTCCCACCCCTCTTTAGTCCCCTTTATGTAGGACCAAATGATACACAGAAAAGCGCGTGACAAAAGGAAAAAAATGCAGGGATAGCAGCCCACAGTTAGCCTCTGTAAAGCACCCCCTCACTAAGCAGTGATGTGGGACTTTTTTGAGGAACCAAAAAGAAAAAGATCGACATGCAAGGCCACACAAAACAAGACTGCCATGATATCCCCCCTCCCGCTTCAACCCAACAGCACTGTTAAAAAAAGATAGGAAGGAGAAAACAGCAGGAGGGATGGAGCAAGTCTTGTCTGTATGAGAGGAAAAGAGGTCTGATTGAGTGTGCAGTGTGGAGTGTGGGGTAGGTGACAGCAAAAGATGGAGGAGTGAGGAAGTTCGAGAGTTGCAGAAATCTTCGGGAAGAAATTTAAGGTGAGAAACTTTTATTTTCAAGGGACTTTGTTTGCGTGGAACACAATAAACCACCGATGTTAAATGAAGCGAGGAGTTCTCAGACCCCACCGGACAGACAGCAGGTAAATTTACGGAGGTTCATTAAGTCTAAATATGCCTTTTTGTTTTTGTTTCCAAATTACAGCAAGTGCTCAGAGGGATTCTTCCACCTTCCGAGAAGTCGTCTTAAAAAACTTCCAGACTCTCAAATCTCTCCTGGTTACACCGGGGAGCAAACGTTAGGGTAATTTATGGCCTTCGTTTATTCTGCAGGAAAACACTGAAAAGGATTTTCCATTAAGCTCTTGTTAAAACACATTTCTATGATTCAAGAAAATTCAAAACCCAACTAGTGATAAGTACACTGTAAAACTGGATTTAGCCTTATTGTTATTTCAATATATATTTAATGATCCGCACATTGGTTTGACAAGAGATTAGATAATATTATTCAAGGATAAAACTAGGAGTAAAACGAGATACTTTTGCCACAAAATGGGTCAAGGTGCAATCCTGGGTCCACAATAGGGATGTGTGATATGGCATAAAATTCATATCACGATATGTATTGTGATGGGTGGCGGTAACGATATATATCACAATATGTTTTTGGTATAAAACTTGCAATAGGAATGAAAAAAAGTATAGGGTGTCCTTTTGCCATCATTTATTTTGAAAACTGCTATACCACAAAACAATCTCAATTAAGAAAATTCCACTACTAGATCCTGAGAGTTTTTAAATAATAAACAAATCAAGTATTGGGCTTCTTTCTTGTTGTGCAAAACAATGCAAAAGATATCAAATGTAGTTTTAGCCATATATTTTAAACAAAAGAATATGTTGTTAACTCTCAACAGTTTTCAGTATTGCAGCATTTTACACTGAAAACACTTCACCCTCCAACCCTCTAGTGGGCGTCTCCTTCCGCTTTAAGGAGAGCTGACACAAAATGGTGACCGGTTTCCTCTGTGGCTTTGACCAGAGGGTCTCGCAGTAAAATCACACAACACAGTGTTCTTTTCACAAATAATAGGTTTAACTTTTTTTTTTTTAAGCTCAAATTCACTCTCTAAAGCTGACCAACAAACTTCAACAAAAAAAAAAAAACAACAACTTGCGACGGAACACAGCGTTTTGCGCATGTGTCCCAATATGAGTACGGCAAGCCGGTCATAGCTAGCTTGTAGCCTCGCTACTTGGCTCTCGAAGAAAGGAATTTAACACCACTTACGCACGGTTTTCAACTAAAAAAAAAGTAACAATTAAATCTGACCACTCTGATTTTACATCAGACACAGCATTACTGCGGTTAGCTGGTAGAAGACAGATCTCAATCATAGGCTAAATGTCTATCGTTTCTAACGTGTACTGTATATATAGCGCATTCCAAGTCCACAAAAACAAGATAGGATGATTCTTTAAGAAGCATTTAAAAAAAAAGAAGCATTTACCGCAAACTCAATTGATATGCATCTCCCCTGTTTGATTTCTTATAAGCGTTTTCAGAACTTGAAAGGGAGACAAATTTAATTTCACAAAATAAAAACCTGATCATGGGCCAATAATAATAATAATGCACTAATCCAACACCCAAATGTATTAAACTTAGCATTTAGAGCATACAGTAGTTCTTAGTTGCTAAGTCTTGTAGCATTTTCTCTTTCTGTCACACCTAAAACAAATCAGACACTGATGGATATTTGCACAAATTAATCACGACAAAGAAATAACACAGAGTCAGGTTTGCAATTTGCCTTTGACTCTTGTAATAAATAAATGTAAAAAAAAAAAAAAAAGCAGGCGGAGGTGCAAATTGGAAATGACACTTTCAGAGTGTTCATTTCCAAAGCAATACTGCTACTTCGTGTTTAGGGCCTCAGCTCATGCTTCATTACAAAACTACTTAAATCAAGAAGAATTTGAGCTATTTGTTAACTAAATTAGATTTCTAATTCCACTATTCTATCTTGCCTAGTTTTTCTCCATTCTGCACGCACCTGAAAAGTTTTTTTTTTCCTCCTAATAGCTAAGGCAGTAAACTGAGTGTTTAAAGATCAAGATCCAATTTAAGATTACCCGTTATTTTTCATGCATTCTAGATGAAGAAAATAAAATGTCGTGCAAAAAGCCAAGGTCTAAAAGTTTAAACATCTTGCAAGAAGTGGTGATACAAATCTAAAACCTTTATGAACAACGTGTCTTTTGAAAAACTGCCCCAACAACCAGCAGCGATTGACCGTTTGAAGCATCAAAGTCTTTCAGGCCTATAAATGATGAGAATGTGTAAAAAAAAAAAGCCTCGTCAAGTTAACAAAAGTCAAGGAAAAGCTGTGAACAGAAGCAGCAAAGGTCACGTTGAGGTTTGCAAAACAAAGACAACAAGATCTGCTCAAAGGATTGCCGTAAAAAGCATATCTCCGAGATTTATCTGAAAACTGCAGGAATATGACCTTCATGAGAAAGTCATGGAGAAAATGAAACTGTGGAAAAAACAAGAAAATCCAGCTGTTGAAATGAAGCCCCTCATAAACGAGTCTTACATTTTATATTTCCAGGTCTTAAATGTCACAGAGGCAAAAAAAAAAGTTAATTAACAAGAGGACCGCATCTGGCACATTATACGCCCGTAGACAAACTATTATACAGCAACATTGTTATATGTTACAGTGTTTCCCCTACCATTATACAAGCAGGGTGCCCCGCCCAGTCAACAGAAATGAGCATCCTGCCTACCATACTTATAACCCCACCCACCCCCGTCGACAATTGCCTGCAATGTTGTAGCACTAAGCTAGCGGTGCGCAATACAGAAGCGCTAGCTAAAGAGATAGGTAGCGTTGCCACACGCTGAGCCGTCTCCCAGACCCCCTCGATCAGTACAAACAGTGCGCAACACAGACGTGTCCCCATCTCCATCCACCACCCATCCCACCCCAGTCAACAAAAATCACGGAAGATACGACCATCCTGCCAAGGCAATTGATATAGGGGAAACACTGTGTTATTATTAAACAATGACCTATAGCAATAGTTTGAGCAAGCAAAGTATAATATTTGGCCTTAATTTATGACCTTGACCTTGAAGTTACTGATGATGCATATGTGCAGCAAGTTTTGCAAGAGAAACTTTATGGACAGACGAATACTAGACCATAATACGTCTTGCCTTCAATGGGCGTATAAAAAACTAAAACCCCTAAGAGACAGCTTTGGACATTGTCCTTTTTGTTACTCACTCGTTGCCCCAGTCCAGTCTGGCCGTGATGTGCTGCTTGACGTCCCTCATGCGATCATGGGTGAGGTGTCCGACCAACACCTGCCGCCTCAAGTCCAAGATCTCATTCATCACGTGCCAAAGCCGATGGAACAAATCCCCCTCGTTCTTCTGCAGGAAATAAAAGACACAAGAAAACTAGCGTTGCTCAAACACGGCCACCTTAAAAACACAACGGAAAGCAGGTTTTGGAACAGAGCACAAATCAGAGAAGTGCAACACTGAGAAGGGCAACCAGAGAGGGAAGAAAAAGCAAATGAAAGGTCCTAGAATTGATTGGAGCAAATTAGATTCAATGTCCTGCTGCTTTTTGCCACAAATATGGGTTGTTTGATCTGCAAGCATTCATCAGTTCAATTTAATCAGCACCCAGATGGCTTAATAGGCTACAAACACAATCAATTCAACAAATGAAAGGGTAGGAAAATGCTTTTTTACTGTTTCTCAGTGACCAAATAAACTCCCTGCATGAAGCACATAAAGGGCTTAAAGCAGTGGTGATATTTAAAGTGATGCATTTGAGCCGTTGCGCTTCCTACCACATAGAGCTGTTTCCACATGGCGCCCCAGTCTCGTAGCGTTGACGTCATCTCAGTGATGACGGAGTCTTCGACAGGGATCACAGTCTCAAATTGCCTATAAAATTACGTTGATGCACACGAATTACACTTTGTTCAAACCTAAACCACATATTTGAGAAATAAAATAGGAAACTATAGAGATGGTGCTCACCCTTTGTTTTTCACAACAGCATTCTTCAAGTGGATGTGGTTGGATGGGAAGATCCCCTTCAAACAAAAGATGAAGAGGTAAATGCACCTAATCAGTATCGAGTACACTAGTGCATAAAAATTTAAAAGGCAAGGGATTTTTTTAGGCTACAATTATCCATGTCTGTGTCTGGCACTAAATCTTTCAAGTTGTTTTAAACATAAATAGTTTGCTCCAACTATTAACTAAGGCAGGTGTCCTCAACTGCTGGGTCAACGACCAGTACCGTTACATGCATCTATTGATACAAGATCTTAAATGAATAAAGGCTTCTCTTCAAATGTATCTAGATACTTTTTAATAGATTTGTTTGCCAGTTAGGCAGCGCAGTGGCACAATTGGCATAGCTGCCGCCTCTCAGCGAGAAGATCGCTGGGTCAAATCCCGGCCGGGGACCTTTCTGAGGGAGTTTGCATGTTCTCTCCGTGCATGCGTGGAATTTCTCTGGATACTCCAGTTTCCTGCCACAGACCAAAAACGTGCACGTTAGGCTGATTGGTAACTCTAAATTGTCCCTAGGTGTGAGTGAGAGAGTGACTGGTTTTCTCATTTGTCTCTAAGTGACCTTGTGATGGACTGGAGACCTGTCCATGGTGCACTCCGCCTCTCGTACATTGATGGTTGGATATGGGCACCAGTGACCCTCGTAACCCGAAATGGGAGAAGGGGGTAAAGATAATGGATGGCTGAATGAATGGTTGCTCGTTACTTCATTTTAAAAACAGTGACTTCTGTTAGTGCCTCCTTCCTTTAGTTAATACAGTCGCAGCTATCTTTGTAAAAGAGAACTGGTTCTCAAACATTTCACCTGGTAAAACAAAGATCAAATAACTAAATAAATAATAAATACATATTCACATACTATCAAACCTCTGCTTTACTATCTACTTGGAGCTTTACTATCTACTTGGAGCTTTCTCCTACTTAGTTGCAAGGCTGCTTACAGGTACCTGACTGTTGTTTGACGGGTGTTTAGAGGTTACTGCTAACCTCTTCTAATGATGACTGTTATACAACCTATAAACATAACAAGGTGACTAACTAACAAGGTACCAGTAACTAAGACAAGAAAGATGCTGACATTAAATTATTTCCCCTCTGTTTAGACAACAGTTCATCTTCTCATGAAACTATTACTCTTATTAGGCTCGGATCAATTAGAACGTCCAAACTCATGCAAGCCAGTGTCTATAAACAAAAACACTTTTTCCTGGAATGCTTACCTTGACATTTGGATTCTTTAGAATGAATCCTCTGTACCAACCTGCAAAGATAAAACACTGTTAAAAAGTTCAACATTAGGATCTTAGATGGGCAAAGAGAACTGAAGACGGTGCTGACTAGAAGGTGAAACATTATCAGGTGCGTCACTAAAAACTGCCAACACCTTATTGATGAATGATATGCTTCCAGTGGCAAATAAAAAAAGGTATTTTTTGAAAATCCTTTTGTTGCAGTCAGTAGCAGAACAGCAAAACATACACAAAGGTTTTCTTAACAACCTGTGTGACCATGTGTGAATTCATACCACAGAGGAAGAAAACCCACAGAGAAACCTTGCTATCATGTCTCATCCCAGCAGATGTGCCAAAAAGTAAGCATAAAGGTCTTAATACGGCAGCTTGTCTTTTCACACCATTACACTCTCAAAAATGGACTCAAACTAACGTAGTGAGTGCACAATGCTTGTGCAAATCCCATCACTAATGGAAACAATCTAATAAATGTATATTTATTTGTGCAAGTTGGAGCTGATGTGCTTTCCCAATGGGACTATTTCATTCATCCCACTGTTGCACTAAATCCCTCCAGATAAGAGCATTAGTTTAATAGCACAAATGTAAATGTATTAGATTATTCTAATCACTGTTTGCTTTGACCAGAGCATTAGTGACTTAGACAGTATTTGCCCTTCCATCCGTTTCAGGGAGTACATAGTCAGGATATTGCTGAGTCATTAGTCCTGAACAGCTCAATTTTTCCACTGATGGATCATCGTTTAAAGAACGATAGGTAGAATGTCATGGAACTGTCCCTCGTGGATTTACCATCAACTGCTTCCCTTATTATAGCTCCCATACAGCTTTTAAAGTTTAATTTATAGCTTTTATAAATGAATCATGAATAAACAATCAAAGCCTAATAAACTATACTTTTTCTAGACTTTGCAATCAAGCAATGGCATTGGCTTTTAAAAGAAAATATGATCCTTGTAGAAAAAGGCACTTAAGAGTAGATTTTCTGATAGTTTTGGACACCTAACAAGAACCTCAAACTTAAGCTGGGAACCCAAAATTATTTATTTTACTTTTTGGCGTAACAATGGTTAAATCACCACACACTTTTCCTCTGGCTGTAAACCAGACTGAAAATAGTTTTAGTACAGTTTACCAAAAAGTGATTCTGTGAAACTACAGTCTCTTTAGTAATTTTTGTGTATTTTTTTTAAGATACTTATTTGGCAGCATCATCTGCATACATTTGGCGCAGAAGATCATTACAACTTTCATATAGATAATTGAGAAACAAATTAAAAGAGCAGTGGTACCAAAATAAAACCTTGCGGTATGCCAATTTTATTTTCAAAATTTTTCAACTTTTTTTTTTTTTTAAAGTCATTTTGTGCAAGAATACTAGGGTTGTAACATGCACTTTCTGTATAGGTGTTTCAGTGTGGCATGCACACGTAATGAATGAATGCAGTGTTATTTTAAACCTGTACACCTGCAGAATAATTATGTGCAAAATTCTATGGTCCATCATTTAACTTTGAAAAGGTAGCACAAAAGAAGACACCACAATGAAAAACAATGAAAATCACAGACTGACCAAAACTTAAAGACCCCCTATTCTTAAAGTCAACTGTTTGGGAACATTAAGATTTCTAAGTTCACTACAGTAACGGCAAAGAAAGAAAGGCGGATTGAATGACAGGTTTTTGTCAGCAACAGAAACTCTTACGAAGCCAACATATTAAGTGGCATTTAGGACCTATGTCTTATTGTAGGGTTTTGTCTGAGCACGTTATAGATTTTATACTGTAGTCATGTATTCACGACCCACAGGAATGTTCTTACACAAAAGTAAAAGGGAGAGCCGCCAAAGAGCAAAGTAAAAAAAATCAATAGCTTAGGCTATACGATTTTACACAGCAGCCACAAGCTGGTGAAGACGCATTCACTCTGCGAGCCGCAGTGTTTTGAAGTGTCAATAGCATCAACATGACGCAGAGCCATTAGCCCATCTCCTCTGCTGTCAGCAGCCCGTCTCTCAGCCTCTTCGCTGTTGGCAGGATTCTGATTTAGTTCCTCCCTTTTGGGCCAAGCATTCAGCTGGCTGTGCCATTGTCTACTTCCTCTGGGTCCTTTACACACAATATCACATCTCTCTGACTGGCAAGTTGCATGACTGACTCGCTGTCTGGCTGATTGTTGTGTGTGTGTGTGTGTGTTTGTGTGCGTTTCTATCTGCTTAAAGGAAGTGAGACAAGAGCTCCGGAAGGCAGAGGTGACAAAGTACTTGGGCAAGGTTGACTGTGGTGAGGCAGTGCATTAGAGCTTGGAAATCATTTCACATTGTTCTGGGGGAAAATATCTACAACAGAAATTACAACAAAAAAATAAGACTATGAAAGAGAGACAGGAAAGAGTTTAAAAAGAACTGAAGAAAGGAGAATAACAGACTTGGTGTTGGCAGGAAGCTGGGGAGAGCCTCTCCTGCAGGAAAAAGTGGAAAGAAAGAAAATCATTTCTAAAGGTTTTCATCACACAAGAGGCAGCTTAATTTGTGCAGTCGTGGCTTTATGAAGTCTTTAACACTTTAACTGCCCCCACTGACTTAGATTTGAATGTAGAACACCACAGGAGACTGTTCAAGGGTTAATAATTACTGACTTAGCAATCCTTAAAGGAACACCTCGAACGCTGCCAGAATTTTAGACTGTCATTATCTTCTGAGAAACAGACAATCAAGGCAGACTTCAACATTTAATGCTAAAGTCTTGGGCAAAGATCTCACCTTAGTGTATGTGTTGTAGCTGACTCTCGACTACTACCACACCAACTTTTAGCTCAATATCTGCAAAACTGACTGAGCTATACCAATTTATGTGTTATTTAAGAACCCTTGGCTGTGGCAGTCATCTTGAGTAGGGTTGGCTCCAAGAGTTATAGATGTACGGTACATTCAGTGATTACTTTCTGAAAATCTGATTATTCATTTAGTGATTTGTAAGGTGTTTCTGGACGCAAATGAGGGACAAACACACCAACATGGTAAAAATCACTACTGTACTGCCCGTCTTAGCCTTCGTGAATCCTTCGATTTGCATTCAGTATGTTCTATTAGAAAATCAGAAGTGTTCTGCACGTTTTAACCACTTTACCCAAACTGGAGTGATTCATTTCCCGACAGGAAGTATATTCTTTTTCCATTTCCTTTCAGAAAAAAATAAACATGCACACAGACAGTGTGTGTGGCGTACCTTCACATTTCTCCAGGATCTGCACCGTGTCTCCAATTTCCAGCGGGAGGCCATGTTGGATGGTCCCTCGGAAACTGGCCAGCACTGCAAAAGAAAAAGGTACATGTACACATTTTATTTAGTTTTTATTGTTGAGTTCAGCTATGTGAGGAAAAGGGGTTGTAGGACAAGGTCAAGAACAGGAGAGTGATACAAAATGAAACACAAAATGAGAACAAAAACAAACAAAAGAAGTGGTAAATCAATAGGGTAAATGTGAGATAAAATCCAAGTATATTTCTATAAATGTGTTTTGTTTAGCAGAGGAAGCAGCTGGAGAGCCTGAACCGGAATAAGGCTGCAAGTCCAGATGGTGTCAGTCCCAGAGTTCTGAAGGTCTGTGCAGAGCAGCTCTGTGGGGTTCTGCAGCACCTCTTCAACCTTAGCCTGACCCAAGAGAAGGTTTCAGTGTTGCGGAAAATATCCTGTCTTGTCCCAGTACCAAAGAAAACTCATCCATAAGTCCTCAATGACTATAGACCTGTTGCCCTGAAATCCCACATCATGATGGTCTTATAGAGACTTCTGCTGGCCCACCTGACTAAACAAACAAGCACATATCAGGACCCACTGCAGTTTGCTTATCAGCGTGGACTTGGAGTTGAAGATGCCATCATACACCTGCTTCAGCAAACTCACTGTCATCTAGAAAAGGCAGACAGCTCTGTGAGAGTCATGTTCTTTGATTTATCCAGTGCATTTAACACAATCCAGCCTGATTTGCTTTGTCAGAAACTCCAGAAGACTAAGGTGGAAGCCTCAGCAACCACCTGGATCAAAGACTACCTGACAAACAGACCACAGTTTGTGAGACTGAAGGGTTGTGTGTCTGACCAGGTGGCCAGTAGCTCAGGAGCACCACAGGGGACTGTACTCGCACCATTCCTTTTCACTCTGTACACCTCAGATTTCCAGTACAAAACAGAGTCCTGTCATCTGCAGAAATATTCAGATGACTCTGCAGTGGTCGGGTGTATCAGAGATGGACAAGAAGCTGAGTACAGGGAACTGGTGGACCGCTTTGTGGCATGGTGTGGAAACAATCATCTCATCCTGAATGTGAACCAAACAAAGGGGATGATTGAAGATTTCAGGAGTAACGGGAACAGGTCCAACCTTATTTCCATTATGGGAGAAGAAGTGGAGGTGGTGGAGAAGTATAAATACCTTGGGGTTCATCTGGACAACAGACTGGACTGGAAATGCAACAGTGAAGTGTCTACAAGAAGGGACAGAGCAGACTGTACTTCTTGAGGAAGCTGAAGTCCTTCAACGTTTGCAGCAAGATGCTACATATCTTCTATAAGTCTGTTGTAGAGAGTGCTATCTCTTCTGCCATCATCTGCTGGGGGAGCAGCACCAGAGCAAGTGACTTAAAAAAGATCAACAAGCTCATATATAAGGCTGGCTCAGTTCTGGGGACTCCTCTAGAACCTTTGGAGATTATTGTACAAAGAAGGATTCATCATAAAATGAAAAACATTATAGACAACCCTCAGCACCCTTTTCATCAGACTGTCATAACAACAGACAACAGAGTGTCTTCAATCAGAGGCTTCTTCAGATCCGCTGTAAGACAGACCGCTACAAGAGATCCTTCCTGCCCACAGCCATCAGCATCTATAACAACTCTTTAATGAAACCAGAATGATGAGTTACAACATTTAATTTCCCTCTGGGATTAATAAAGTATTTTTGAATTTAGAATTGAATTTAAATTTTGAACTGAGTTGAAGTCTTACTGGACAACCCTTTATGCTGGATGACAGAATTAAAAAGACATTAAATATATGAATCTGAAACTAATTAGATGGCAGTGAGGAGTCAAATATTCAAAGAATAAAAGTACTGCGTATGGCACATTATACGCCTGTCAAATTATTAAACAGCTAGCTATAGCAATTGGCCCAACAACCAAAGACCTTGTGTAATATTTGACCTTGGAGCTGGAGAAATGAAAAGTGTCTAGTGTCCGTCTAGTGATGATGCATATGTGTATGAAGTTTCATTAGAGACAACAAAAAGTATAAGTACGGACTGAGACTATACAATAATAAGTCTGCCTTTGGACGGGTGTCTAAAAATCAAATAAGTACTAAATGAATTTAAAGTGTTTTTGCCGAAAACACCCATCCCTAAATTACAACAGGTAACATATTATTTATTTGTAACCGAAAGCCATTTTGACATGACCAAACTATTCCTTTACGGTGGTTTATAAGGACAGTTTTAGTGCTCCGACCGCACAGCCTATTGGAGAGTGACACAGCTATTCATCCTAAACCACTTGGGGGTCATAAATCACTTTGTGAGAAGTTAATAAAAGGAGAAACCGAAGGCAGTAAGTGCTTTAATTCAACTCTAACGAAACCACTAAAACCTAATAATAAAAACTTTTCCACTAACCCCACACAACCTCTTACAAAGACCATATTTATACACTTAGAGCTCAAGGTCCAACCACAGTATGCTCTATGGGCAAGTGTTTATCTGCTTTTAGCAATGACAATATGTTAAAGGGGACACATGAACAATAACCAGAAAATATAGCTGTTTGACAAATGTTTTCTTTTTCACAGAAGTTGAAGCCAACAAATTCAAGAAGCAGGAACAAAGAGATAATCTGGAGCCTCACCACCACCAGGAAAGCTCGTCACCTGACAGCTCTTCGGCCATGCTCACTGAGCCAACATATGTATTAAAAGACAGCTATGTTCAAGCAAATCCATCAATGCATAAACTGTATAAATGTCTACAAAACGCTACTACTGGAACTACGAAGGCAGCGAATTCACACAAGCAGCCCATTCAAACAGCTAATGTATGCTAGTACACATGGCTACACAGAGAAAGCCATTCACACATGGACACACACATTCAACACAAGCAGGGATCTGAGGCGGAAACGGATAACAGGAGAGGCTCGTTAGACAGAAAGCATCCTAGTTTGTCATCATCCATTTTATCTGTGCGCATCGTTGAAACAACCAAAAGAAAATTCCTCTCACCGCTGAGAGATTGTATTTAATCCAAGATGAGTCAAAGCAAACAACCAAAAATGTGTACCTGAAAATCTTTAATACAAAAACACAGTGGTTATGGTCTTTTTCATCTTGTACATCAGGTCTACATTATGTAATTTCAATGTGTCTGTCTGTTAGCAAAATATCTCATGAACCACTGGACAGATTATAATGAAACTTTCAAGAAGTACCGGTCATCACTGGATGTTCATAAACAACTGATAAGGCTTTAAAACCAACCCAGTTCAAGATGGCCACCACAATTGCTCAAATTTAGTCAAATTTACAGATGTTGAGGTAAAAATTGGTGTGGTACTAGGTGAGTATCATCTCCAACACATATTCTAAGTGCTAGTCAGTGCAAGACATATTTGCCAAGGAATATGGCACGTGTTGCTTTTCCATTGTTAAGTGCGGCTCTACTCGGCTCTCCTCTTCTCGGTTCTTCTTAGATGTAGGTGATTTGCCACTACAGTGGAGGCTGACCTGTTTTCCCGCTCTGTGGGCGGGATCATCAATGCAAAGTGGGCGGGATCATAATGGGTCTTTTTGTCTTATCCCGGCACTGCTTATAAGTCCAGGTGTAGCTGTGCTATGCCATCATCTCCGATATCTCTCGATAAATGCACTCATTTCTTGTTGCGTCGTCCGTCAACACGATGAAGAAGTGGAGGTTCAGATGTAGTTTGCAGTTTTGATGAGCGGGTCATCCAATCACATAGCTCTGCTGAACAATAAATGGCTACTGTCTGCCTACATCAAAATCGGCCCCTCAGAGCAGCCCGTTTGGAACGCCAAACAAGGTGGCCCCATAAACCGAGCTGAGGGTGGTGGATACCAACAGCGGGGAGGCTCTTAACTGGTGCCGTGTTGAGTGGAGCCGCGAAGAGTTGATACAGCAGCAAAGCACCATAACTGTTGGAGTCAACCTTGTTTGTCTGTTAGCAATGTATCTCATGAACCACTGGATGGATTTATTGAAACTCAGGAAGTAATCCATGGATGTACATCTAAAACTAATAAACTTCTGAAGTAAATTCAACTCAAGATTGCCGTCACAGGTAATCAATATTAGTAAACACGTAAATGGCTATAACTCAATCATTTTGATAAGTATTGAGCTTAACCTTGAGGTGATAGTAGCAGAGAGTGATTCTCATACAAACTTTAAGTGTGAGATCGTACAATAATGTGTGAGACCGTGCATGATGTTGTTTCCTTGACCACAAAAGAAAACAAGTTTGCTAAAATGTTTCCTGCTGTGCTAAGTTTCTGAAAAAAAAAAGGAGTTTTTTGGCCCATCACATAAGTTGTTTGTTGATTATTGTTGAATAGAAGAAACAAATTTATATGTCTGTAAAGTATTTAAAATGAAGATATTTTTCTCCTTTGTCAAAACTGCCAACTACTCATAACTGACTGTAGAAATACCAGCAGTGGACCATCAAAGATGTCTATGCTGGCCTAAACACATCAGAATCACTAACATAAATTTTAGTATTAAAAAAAAAATCATTATTATTATTATTATTATTATTATTATGAAATGTCTGTTCTTTTAATTTTACAGGATTTCTCCTGGTTGTACATCTTCCAGTACCGTATGTTTATATAGAGCTTTTGTCCATACTTAGACCATGATGTGTTGCTAGGGTCAAATAAATCTTCCCCAAGGCCTTCAGAACCAACTGTGCAGGCACCTGTTGCTCAAAACAAATGGCAAAGAAACTTTGCTTTGACCAATCAGGTATTAAGTTGGCAATGCCAGGGCCTTCTAGCAGGCATTAGACAACATCAGCATTTTCACGCCATTTGATTGGACGGTCAGAGAAGGTACTGGTCGGCGATAGCACAAGCTAAATGCCGAGTGGACATCTTCAGCCTTAAAGCAAATTAAACCTTGTGCCAGAAAAACTACAGAGCAGACTGGACTTTCAATGATGGCTTTCATGGTGACAGAAAAGGACTTATTGTCAAAATGGAAATGCCACGATGACCTGTATGACTGAGGAATTGACCTCT